AACGATGCGCCAGTGTGGGAAATGAGCCTTGAAAATGTAGTCTGGGCTAGGTGCCGTGACTCATACCTGTAATCCCAGCACTTTGGGAGGCCAAGACAGGTGGATCACCTGAGGTCAAGAGTTTGAGACCAGTCTAACATGGTGAGAAACCCAGTCTCTACTAAAACTACAAAAATTAGCTGGGCATGGTAGCAGGCCACTGTAATCCCAGCTACCTAGGAGGCTGAGGCAGGAGAAGCGCTTAAACCTGGGAGGTGAAGGTTGCAGTGAACCGAGATCGCGCCATTGCACTCTCAAAAAAAAAAAAAATTGGGTCGCCCAACGCGGTGGCTCACACCTGTAATCCGAGCACTTTCAGAGGCCGAGGCGGGTGGATCACGAGGTCAAGAGATCGAGACCATCCTGGTCAACATGGTGAAACCCTGTCTCTACTAAAAATACAAAAAAATTAGCTGGGCATGGTGGCGCATGCCTGTAATCCCAGCTACTCAGGAGGCTGAGGCAGGAGAATTGCCTGAACCCAGGAGGCAGAGGTTGTGGTGAGCCAAGATCGCGCCATTGCACTCCAGCCTGGGTAACAAGAGCCAAACTCCGTCTCAAAAAAAAAAAAAACAAAAAAACAAAACAGCTTTCAATCAATGCAACTCTCCATTATAATAAAAGACCTCCACCTTTCCAAGCTTGAGTTTTCCTAGAGGGCAAACCTCAACATAATTTCAGGCCCTGGTATGAGGCCTCTGCCATTTGGTAGCTCGAACTAGAAGAGTAACATTTTTATCCCCCTGGAAAAAAAACCCCCAGTCTCAGCTCAGTGCAACCTTCGCCTCCTGGATCAAGCGATTCTCCCACCTCAGCCTGCCCCCTCCCCCTGCCCAGTAGTGGGACCACAGATGTGCACCACACCCAGCTAATTTTGTGTATGTTTTGTAGAAATCGGGATTCGCTATGTAGCCCAGGCTGGTCTCTAACTCCTGAGCCCTGGTGATCCTCCCACCTCCGACACCCACAGTGCTGGGGCTACAGGTGTGAGCCAGGCGGAAGAGTAACTTGACTATGGTTTCCTCCTGCATTAAATGGGCACATCACCTGGCTTGTTAGGGTTACTGCACATACTTAAAGCACTTAGAACAATGATCAGCCCAGAAGAACAGATTATCTGCCTGAAAGTGAAGGGCTAGAGGCGCCCTGTTAATTGGGAAAGGAGGCCCCTTTTCAGCTTCACCAGGTGTCCTGGACCCCAACCCACTCACTCACTCACCCAATCCCAGCAAGTGGTGATCGGGAGGGCGGTCCCAGCCTCCTTATCTGTCTGGGCTTTTTGGGAGTGAGACCACCCAAGGCAGGCAGTTCTTGGAGAATTCTTCTCCAAGGCCTGCTGGTTCTTTCCTGGGGCTTTGTTCTACAGATTTCTTTCTTTAAGTGCTTGTTTCTCATAGTCTTTCTCCTTTTGTGTCCAGTCTTTCCTTCCTTCTTTATTTTTCTCAATGACAACAGGTGTCATCTTTTTTTTTTTTTTAATAATACATTTTATAGAGATGGGATCTCGCTGTTGCCCAAGCTGACTTCAAACTCCTGATCTCAGATAATCCACCTGCCTCACCCTCTCAAATTGCTGGGATTGGCAGAGTTTGGCGGCTCACAACTGTAATTCCAGCTGTTTGGGAGGCCGCGGTGGGAGGATCACTAGAGCTCAGGAGCCCGAGATCGGCCTGAGCAACACAGAAAGAGAGAGAGAGAGAGAGAGAGAAAGAAAAACACAAAAAGTGCTGTGATCACAGGCGTGAGCCACTCGTTCAGCCCCTTTCGGTTTGTTTCTGTGATTCTCCCAACCCTCTTCTCCCTCTGAATCTGTCTCTGGGACTTTCTCTCTCTCCCCACCTTCCCTCCCCTCCTCACCCTCTCTATCCTTCTCTGGGTCTCTGTTGATGTTTTTCTCTCTGCCTCTCTCCCTGTCTGTCTGTACCCCTCTGCGTGTCTCTCGTCGCCCCCGTTCTTCTGTGTCGCACGCACACGCCCCATCGGGCCTCTGCCCTTGTCAATTGCCCCTGGAGCCCTGCCCCCACCTCCGTCCCAGTTCCCTTCTACAAGCCTCAGTCTCCAGCTCTGAAAACTCGGCAGGCGCCCCGCCATCCGCACCCCCACCTCGACTCCCACCCCTGCCCCACGCACTCCCCGCCCGGTCGCGGCTGTCCACCGGCCAAACTCAGGCGCGTCCTGGCCCAGGGCCGGGCGGAAGGGAACCAGTCCAGGGCCAGCCAGGCTGCGCCAGGGGCGCGCGTCCGGGAAGCGCCCCTCCTGCCCCGCCCCCGGCCCCGCCCCAAGCCGTCTATAAGACTCTGGCTCTCCCTGCCAGCCTCAGCCTGACTTCAGCGCTCCCACACTTGGCCGACTTCCTCATGGCCAACCGCTACACCATGGATCTCACCGCCATCTACGAGGTGAGTCCCCGCCACTCGGCACCTGCACGCCTGACTCCCAGCTCTCTAGAGCTGCAAGCTCCGGCCCGGGACTGGAGCTTGCCTCCCTTCTCCAACTGGGGCCCCCTAGTGCGCCAGTTCGGCGCCCCTGCCTTCTACTCTCAAGACCCGCTTGGTGATTTGGAGGTGAAATGGAGCTCGGGTCTCCCGGGTCTTGGCTCAAACATGGGTGGGGCGGCCCGGGAAAGTGGAAAGTCGGAGAACTTTTCTCACACCGAGGCTGCCTGGAGGCGGAAGTGGCCCCCATACCTGGCTCATCCCTAGTGGTTGCTGAGGGCGTGGTTTTGCGCGGAGGCGTGTCTGGGGCTGAAGTCTTAGGGTGGGGGGATCCGACTTACGTCTCTCCAGTCCCTGACCGTAGTTCTCTGAAAACCCTAAAACCAAAGCGATCCGGACTCCTGGGTCAACTTTGCCCGGTTCCTCCAGTTGTGAAACTGGAGATCCCGACGTGTGGGTCATATCCGGGGAGGTCCAGAGACTCAAAATTGGGAAACAGGGGTGCGCTCTGACTTCGGGGACCCCTCTTGGTCCAGCCGGTGAAACAGGAATTCCTGGGTCCCTCGGGATAATGCCTCGGTCGGGGGTAAACTCGGAATCTCCAAATCTGGGTTCCTGGCATCTGGAACCTGGGAGTTTCTGCGAGCGGGTGGGGCTCAGGCCGGGAGCCCACAAACCGGCCTGGCAAGCTCTTGATCCCTGCAGCTGGGGTGGGGCGTCGCCCTGCATATTCGGGTGCCTTAACCGACCCATTTCCGCAGAGCCTCCTGTCGCTGAACGCTGATGCGCCCGTGCCATCTGACCACGGAGAGACTGAGTCCAGCCCAGGCTGGGGCTCCTCGGGACTCTGGAGCCTGAGCCCCTCTGACTCCAGCCCGTCTGGGGTCATCTCTCGCCTGCCTGGCCGCTCCACCAGCCTGGTGGAGGGCCGCAGCTTTGGCTGGGTGCCCCCACCCCCTGGCTTCGCACCGCTGGCTCCCCACCTGGGCCCCGAGCTGTCACCCTCACCCACCTCGCCCACAGCCACCCCCACCACCTCCTCCCGCTACAAGACTGAGCTGTGTCGGACCTTCTCAGAGAGTGGGCGCTGCCGCTATGGGGCCAAATGCCAGTTTGCCCATGGCCTGGGCGAGCTGCGCCAAGCCAATCGCCACCCCAAGTACAAGACGGAACTCTGCCACAAGTTCTACCTCCAGGGCCGCTGCCCCTACGGCTCTCGCTGCCACTTCATCCACAACCCCAGCGAAGACCTGGCAGCCCCGGGCCACCCTCCTGTGCTTCGCCAGAGCATCAGTTTCTCTGGCCTGCCCTCCGGCCGCCGGACCTCACCACCACCGCCAGGCCTGGCTGGCCCTTCCCTGTCCTGCTCCTTCTCGCCCTCCAGCTCCCCGCCACCACCTGGGGACCTTCCACTGTCACCCTCTGCCTTCTCTGCTGCCCCTGGTACCCCTGTGGCTCGAAGAGACCCCACCCCGGTCTGTTGCCCCTCCTGCCGAAGGGCCACCCCTATGAGCGTCTGGGGGGGGGCCTTGGGTGGCCTGGTTCGAAGCCCCTCTGTACAATCCCTGGGATCTGACCCTGATGAATACGCCAGCAGCGGCAGCAGCTTGGGGGGCTCTGACTCTCCAGTCTTCGAGGCGGGGATTTTTGCACCACCCCAGCCCACGGCAGCCCCCCGGCGACTCCCCATTTTCAATCGCATCTCTGTTTCTGAATGACAAGTGACTCTGCCCCGCCAGATCAGTTGGATCTCACGGGGGAAGCCACATCTCTTGCACTGTGGTCTTTGCATGGACCCAGGGCTGTGGAGACTTGGGGGACAGTAATCAAGTAACCCCCTTTTCCAGAATGCATTAACCCACTCCCCTGACCTCAAGCTGGGGCAGGTCCCCAAGTGTGCAAGCTCAGTATTCATAGTGGGGGATGGAGTGTCTTCTGAGGTTCTTAAAAAAAAATGTAGCATATTTAAGGGAGGCAATGAACCCTCTCCCCACCTCTTCCCTGCGCAAATCTGTCTCCTGGAATCTTACGTGCTGTGAATAATAGGCCTTCTCTGCCCCTCCAGTTTTTAGAGATCTGAGGTTCCAGAGTCTCCTGGTAACTGGAACCTCCCCTGAGGGGGATCCTGGTGCTCAAATTACCCTCCAAAAGCAAGTAGCCAAAGCTGATGCCAAACCCTACCCATGAATCAGTGGGTCTTTATTTATGACGACTTTATTTATTCTAATATGATTTTATAGTATTTATATATATTGGGTCGTCTGCTTCCCTCGTATTTTTCTTCCTCTTTTTTTGTAATATTGGAAACGACGGTATAATTATTATAAGTAGACTATAATATATTTAGTAATATATATTGTTACCTTAAAAGTCTATTTTTGTGTTTTTGAAAATTTTTAAATAAACGGAATCTGCGTGTAAGCTGGGATCCTCGCTTCTTCGCGGTCTAGAGACAAGAATGGGGAGGGAAGGGGTTGACTTTTTGGAACCAGTCAGCTCTGCTCCTCCCAGCCCCGCGGCGCTTACCTGGCAGGAAGTGACGTCACCAGGCCTGGCCGTTCACCTGAAAGGGTGTGACCAGGTGAGGTCACCAGATGAGAACTGGGGGAGCCAGTTCCCGGGCGTCGGGGCACCGCGCTCCGGTCTTGCCGAACTCCTTGACCCAGCTCTCCGGCGGGCGCGCGCGAGCGGGTACGGGATGTTTCCGTCCCCACCGGGCCGCGGGAGGCGGGAGGGGCCGGGTGGAGAGGACGGAATGTGCTGGGGCGCGCGCCCAGGGCGAGCGGGGGCGGGCGCGGGGCGGGGCAGCCTGGGGTAACGGAACCCGTTTCGGGACTCGGGGTTCCTGGGGGGCTTCGACGCCTTTGGGATGTTGGGAGGAAGCGGGTTTTAGGGTCTCAAGAGTCTAGGATCTCTACATTTAGGAGTCTCAGGTTGAGTCCCCTGGCGCTTTAGACTCTGGAACCCTGGTGGCTCGGAGTTGCGGGTTTCTGGCCACCCGGGACCCTGGAGCCCAGGAATTACCAGATCTTGGTATTTCCGAACCTTGGAGGCCCGAGGCCTCGGACACCCACCGTGGTTGGCCCCGCGAGGCCAGGGTGTGTGGGTAATAGGGGCCGCGTGTCTAGGAGGGGCCCCGGAGGAACCGCGTCTCCGGACCATACAAGGCCAGCGACGTCGGGACCAGCCCCGGGGCCCAGCGCCCCGCGCCCGGAAGCCGCCCTGCGTCAGCGCCTGCGGCTTTGCCCCGCCGTCCAGCCTTCGCCCCCCGCTGCCCCTCTTTTTTCTCCTTGCCCCCCTCTCCCCTCCCCCTCCCTCCCGCTTCCCTTTGCTCTCCTTTCCCTACCCTCACCCCTCCTCCTCCTTCTCACTTCCTCCTCTGCACCCTCCTGCCCCGCCCTACACCCTTTGCCTTCAGTTCTTCTCTACACCCTCCAACTCGTCCCCTCCCTCATTACTCCTCTCTCCCACTTCTAGCCTCCCCATCCTGCCGTCTCTTACCTCCTTTCTCCTCCTTCCTGTCTCCCTTCTCTCCCTTTTTCTGTCCTTCCTTCCCTCTCCACCCTTTCCTTGCCCTCTCACTCCCCATTGTTCTCTCCCCCTCCTCCCCTCAGTCTTAGTCCTCCTCTTTTCTCCCTCTCCAGCCCCTTCCCTCCTCTCCCTTCTCTCTCCCCTCCTCAAGCCTCCCTCCTGCTCTCACGCCTCCTTGGCCTTCTCCCCTGGCCCACTGACCTTTGGTCTCCTCTTCTAGGAAACTGCCTCCCTTGTGGGAAAGGGCTCAGGCCCTGATAAGTAGAAGAGGATCAGGAGAGAGAGAGCCAGAACCCCTGCGATGCAAGGGCGTAGGAGGGGCAGAGAGCAAGAGCAGGAGCAAGCAGGCAGAGACATTCGCAGAAACAGAGCCTTGGTCACGGAAAGAACAAAAAAAAGGCATCGCTGGTCCTTCCTTTAGCCCCATCAGATTCTCTCACCCTTCCCCAAAGAATCCCTCATGTAAGAAAATGGCATCTCCCACCAGCTACCAGGGCTTAGGCCAGACACCCGGAAGTTACCTCTTGACACCTTGCTCTCAAACCCCCGGCCAACAGCGATCCTGTCTGATCCACCTGCAAAATAGATCCACAATCCACCTGCCCCCACCATGACCCCCACCCTGGTCCTATCCAACAAGGTCTCCCATTGGCATCTTCATAGCAGCCCACCCAGTCTCTGCTCCAGCCCCAGCCCTCAGTCTCCACTTTCCCCACTTCCCCAAGAGACAACCAGAGGAAGCTGTTGTGAGACCTGAGTCAGATCACATAAAAGTCAAAGTCCTAAGTCCTCCCACAGCGCACACCGTCTGGCACCCATCGCCTACCCTCCCCCTTGACCACTCTGCTGCAGGCACACTGGCCTCCTAGCTGGTCTGCTTCATCCACAGGAGCTTTGCACTAGCTCTTCCCTCTGCCTGAACACTCCCCTGGTGTCCTCATGGCTCACTCCCCTCCTTCAGGTCTCTGCTCAAAATGCCTGATCTGTGAGATCCTCCCTGACCACTGCTGTTGGCAGTCCACACCCCACCTCCAACCCCATCTTCCCTACCTTGCTGGACTTTTTCCATGACATTTATCATCATCTAACACTCAAATGTTCTTAATTCTTTTGTTTTTTTGAGACTGAGTTTTGCTCTTGTTACTCAGGCTGGAGTGCAATGGCGCAATCTCGGCTCACCACAACCTCCGCCTCCTGGATTCAGGCAATTCTCCTGCCTCAGCCTCCTGAGTAGCTGGGATTACAGGCACATGCCACCAGGCCAGCTAATTTTTTGTATTTTTAGTAGAGATGGGGTTTCACCATGTTGACCAGGATGGTCTCGATCTCTTGACCTCGTGATCCACCTGCCTCGGCCTCCCAGAGTGCTGGGATTACAGGCGTGAGCCACCGCGCCCGGCCAATTATTTTGTTTACGGCAATATGCCTCCCCACTAGAATGTCAGGTCCTCAGGGGCAGAGATGTGCCCTTGGGAGGTGGGAGCTGGTGGGAGGTGCCATTTCCTTACATGAAGGATTCTTTGGGGAAGGGCAAGAGAAACTGATCTGGCTAAAGGAAGAACCAGCGATGTCTCTTTCTTGTTCTTTCCGTGTCCAAGGCTCTGTTTCTCGAGCCCTGTGACACTCGCTGCTGTATTACACACAAGTAAAGGGGACCAGGCACACAGTGAATGTTGAGTATTTGTTGAAAAAGCAAGACTCAAAACCGGAAAGGAAACAGTTTTCCTTTTCAACAGAGGTGGAAAACTCCAAGACCGGTAAATACGTTCATCTGTAAAAGAGGCATTAAAAGGAGACAGAGAAATATGCAAAGGCAGAGCTATATACGGTTTACCCAGGACGCACATCTCTGCAGAAGTCAAACTATTTGCAGATTCAATTCCATACCCAGAGCATCTAATAAGAGACGATACCCCCACCTGGTGGCTAGGATAGAAACCGCACCTTTCTACAATACAGAGCAAACAAGGGGCTGTCACCAAAAGCCTAGAAGTCTTTTGAGCCCGAGAATTCAAAAGATGGAAATGTTCATTCATCTAAGTGATGTAGACGTTTTGGTTGGTTTATAAGATGTATAAGTTTATAAGAACTGATGAGAAAAAAAATTAAAAGTGCTGGGGGGGCGGGCAAAAGAAAAAGAGTGCTCCAGGTGAGGATCGAACTCACAACCTCGGCATTGCTCCGCTCGCACTGTCATATAAGTACCGCGCGCTAACCGATTGCGCCACTGGAGCTCTGGCCGCACCCTTGCGCCGGGGAGTCCTTCAGTCATTCATGGCCACGTGACCTCACCGGACGGCCCCGCCTTGTGTTGTTACATATGCAGATTAAAAACTTTTGATTTACCAACAGGACACAGTCCTTCGTCAATTCCGGATTCTCACGCCTCGCGGTCCTTGCTGTAAAAGGGAAAAGTCCGCGAGGCGTTTGGAATGTAGAGGTGTCGCCTACACGAAGGACACGCCTCCTCATGAATATTCAGAATAAGGGATTGGGGCCTTAACCCTTCGCTGGCTGGCCGGCCGGAAGGCAGCCCCTCCCCCCCGCAGGCGGGAACAGGATGTGAGCCGGGGCGACAGAGGGGGAGGGGAAGCCCCGGGCAACCGCCCCCCGCCGCACAGCTGGGACCGGACTCTCCCGCCCCAGATGTGGCGCCGCCGCCGTCACTCGAGCCCTGTGACACCCAGCTGGGAGCCCGAGGGGTCCAGAGGCTCGGACCCCGGAGTCCAGAATTTCTGCTCGGCATCCTGAGAGACCCCGAAGCCCAGGCCCGGGCGCCCAGGCTGGAGGACTTTAGGTGCCCAGCGCCCCCTCCTGGAGCAGCCGGGAGCCCTGGACGTCACCCCGCGGGACCCTGGAGGCCGAGCGCCCCGCACCCCCGTTTCAAGAACTCAGGATCCAGGACCGCAGACTCCCTTCTTGGCTCCGATCCCAAGACCCCGCGTTGGAGGAACTTGAGATTCGGACTTCTAAGGCCCCCATCCAGTTTTGGGCTGCAGCGTCCATCACTTCAAGGGGACCCAGGACTTTGGGACCCCCCTGTGCTACCACCTAGAGGGAGTTTCATCCCTGCCCCTAAAGTTAGGGGAACTCCGGAATCCACTCCCCACCCCACAGCCCTATCTAGAAGACTCAGGAATGTGGGTCCCCAGCGCCCCCATCTGAGACTCCAGAGTCGAGGCTCCTAGCATCCCCCACTTAGAACACCGAGAAATTCCGACTCTGGGACCCTACTCTCCGAGAGACCCCAGATTCTGTTCCTGGAGCCTGAGAGCCCGAAGTTCACGCCCCTGGGTCGGGGCTCCGAACCTCTCCCGGGACCGCGTCGGGGTCCCGCAGGAGCTGGGCTGCCTCGGGCCGGGGCTGGAGGCTTCCCGGGAGGTGAGAGGGGAGGCGAGGGGCCCAGGCGGACTGGGGGAGGGGGCGGCGCCGCTGCTGAACAATGAGGGGGCGTGCCGGCGGGGGGCGAGCCGAGGCGCCGGCTGGAGTTGGGGGCTGGAGGGGTGTGGGAAGGCGCTGGGGAGGCTGCGGCTGTGGGGACGGCGGTCGGGGCTCGAGGGAGACCGGCTGGAGGGGGAGCGAGGGCTCCGGGCCAGCGCCCCAGCGCGCACCCCTCGGCGGGGGAGGGAGCCGTCTGCAGGACCCTGGCATCCGGTCCCCCAGCCTCCGCCCTCCCCTGGGACCCCGCGGCCTCCCGCCCACGGCTTTTCCCAGCCCTGCCCCTAGCCCTCGGCTCCAGCCAGAGCCCAAACGTTCCCAGGATCCCTAAGCCTCTGGCCCCAGACAAACGGGACTCGCAGCTTCTGCGCCTCCTGCTCCGCTCACTCTTCTTTGTCTCAGCTTTTCCATCTTTTTCCCCAGGTTCTCTCTCCTTGTCCCCTTCTTTCTGTCACTTTGTGCCTCCCGCATTAGTGATTCCCAGGAGCCCCTCCCAGGATTTAGAACACGCTCCTCATTCCCAGCCCCCATCTGTGAGTTTGGTCGGTGGCAAGGCCCATGGGGTCCTGATAGCCAAGAAGGGGGTCTTTCTACAGGACCCTGCTGGGCCGCTCAGCCATGCCCGAGGGAGCCCAAGGACTGAGCCTCTCCAAACCTAGCCCAAGCCTCGGGTGTGGCCGAAGAGGCGAAGTGTGTGACTGTGCAACCGTGTGTGAGACTCGGACAGGTGAGTCCAGAGGCAGGGGCGGAGCCTATGGGGCATTTATTCCTGGGCAATGCTGGCGACGCAGGATGATCGAGACAGCCCCAGGCCAACTCGCACTGAGCTCCGAGGCTGGTGGGGGAGGTGGCCGTATCCCCAGGCAATGACAGGGCCAGAGTGGGCAGCGCTGGGCAGAGTGGTAAGGGCTGTGATGGGGGATCCTCCCATCCTGGAAGGTCAGGGGAAGGGTCCTGGAAGTGGGAATATCTCAACTGAGAAGTGGAAAATTAGGGGGAAGAAGTTGGGCAAAGACAAGGAAGAGTATTCCACATGCAAGGAACAGCATGGGCAAAGGCCTAGAGGCAAGAAAAGGCTGCATGTAGGTGACTGAAAGAAGTTGAGCGTCAATGGAATGCAGAGTGTAAGAAGAGGGGTGGCTGTGGGAGGAGAGCTGGCTGGAGGAATGTATGTCAGCCACATTGCCCAGTGCCCTGGGGATCTGAGAAGTTTGGACTTTATCTCGAGGGGCATGAAGGGGTTATACTCATCGGAGTGACACCGTCAGATGGGCAAATTAATAAAGGTCTACCTGGCTGATTCATGGAGGTGGATTAGAGGAATGGAGGCCAGAAGTCCAGAGATGACCCTGATAGGGGAGGATGGGACTAGACCAAGGCAGGGCAGTCGGGAGGGAGGAAGGGGCCTGTGGGCGTGCTGTTGGCCAGGTGCGGGTGAGGGTGGGGGCTGAATGCATGAAAGGCTGTGGGAGTCGGTGTTGGGGGAGATTCCTCTGACCTCCTGTTCCACACCCCAGCAGCTCCTGCAGCCCCTGCCATGGCCTCCCCACGAGGTTCTGGGAGCTCCACATCCCTGAGCACTGTGGGCTCTGAGGGAGACCCAGCCCCAGGGCCCACCCCAGCCTGCTCAGCCTCCAGGCCAGAGCCCCTTCCAGGGCCCCCCATCCGCCTACATCTCTCTCCGGTGGGGATCCCAGGTTCAGCTAAACCCTCAAGGCTGGAGCGTGTGGCCCGAGAGATCGTGGAGACAGAGCGGGCCTATGTCAGGGACCTCCGCAGCATCGTGGAGGTAAGGCGGGCAGACACCAGAGGGCAGTGGGTACCCAGGCCAGCCCCTTGGCCCTGGTAACCCCAGTCATCCCTGCAGGACTACCTGGGCCCTCTGCTGGACGGCGGGGTCCTGGGGCTGAGCATGGAGCAGGTGGGCACGCTGTTTGCCAACATAGAGGACATCTACGAGTTCAGCAGGTCAGGGGCAGGTGGGACAGGCGGGGGGAGGGCATTGACTGGTTGGAAGCTCTATTATTTCCTAACCCAAAGCTTGGAGTGTTCTCTCCAGGCTGGTATGTGGGGTTGTGACATTGGGTAGGAATCAGGGATCATGACTGGGAGTGAGGACCCAGAGTGAGGTAGGGCCATAAGAGATGGGAATCAGAGGACCTGGATGAAGCCCAAACACTGGGACAGGGTTACAGCATCAGGACGAGGTCTCGAGGCTGTGTCAGGTCTGAGCTCACGATGAATCCAAGGATCATGTGGGGCCTGAAGGCCTGGACAGCATGAGCATGCGTGTGACCCCCTAAGCCTGATTTGCCTGGGACTTTTCCAGCTTTAGCACTGAAAGCCTTCATCCTAGGAAACTGCTTGATCCCGGACAGACCAGGATGGTCACTGTGGTAAGGAGGACACTGGGGTCCGAGGATCATGACACTTGCAAGTGCCTTGATGAGGTCTCAGGATTATAGCAGGATCTTAAGATCATCCTAGCTCTGTGAGTCACGACATGACCCCCTAGGCTCATGCCAGCGGTGACACCACGTCAAGCTGGAGGATGAGAAGCTGTCCAGGGACAAAGTCTAAGCAGGTTACCATGTCCCGTGTAGCCCTCGGAGGACCGTTCCTCCAGATGTGACATCCCTTAGCAGATGCTGGCAGTCAGCAAGCTTCTAGCCTCAGCAGACCGCTGGGGTATCGGCCTCCTGGAGGCCTCCCATGAGGGGGTTCGCGGAGACAGGCAGTTCCTCACCCTCCCCTCTCCTCCGTAGTGAGCTCCTAGAGGACTTGGAGAACACCAGCAGCGCCGGGAGCATTGCCGAGTGCTTCGTGCAGCGGGTGAGTGGAGGGGTGGGGGGCCTTGGTAGAGGGGGGAGAGCAGGCGTGGGCTAGGCTGGAAGGGGGGTCATGGGAAGCTGGGACCTGGGGTCTCCCTGACTCCCATGTCACCCGCAGAGCGAGGATTTTGACATCTACACATTGTACTGCATGAACTACCCGAGGTGAGGGGCAGGAGCCCCTGCCGGGCCTCAGGCCGTGCCCACAAGCTGATGTGCCAGTCACCCTCCCTCTACCCCCCGACCCATCCAGCACCGACCCCTGCCAGGCTATGACAGTAACTGACCTCTCCCTCACTGCCTTGCCCCCTGTCAGACCTCTACCCTTCCCAAACCCTGGCCCCTCCCCGACCCCTCTTGGCCCTGCCCACTGGAACTGACAACCCCCACTGACCTGTGCTGTGCCCCCAGCTCCCTGGCCCTACTCCGGGAGCTGTCCTTGTCTCCACCAGCAGCCCTTTGGCTGCAGGAACGCCAGGCCCAGCTTCGCCACTCGCTGCCCCTGCAGAGCTTCCTACTGAAACCCGTCCAGCGCATCCTCAAGTACCATCTGCTGCTGCAGGTCGGCTGGGGCCCCCAGAGCCAGGCCGGGGAGGGTGAGGTCCCGTCCCTTGACCACCTGTTGGTGCATCTGGAGGGTGGACCCCCCGACAAGTTGGGCAAGGCCTGAGGAGGTATCCTATGACTTTGTACCAAGCTGTGCACCTGGGCAGGGATCCAGTCCCTAGAAACTGGGCCAGTGGGCTGGGTGCAGTGGCTCACACCTGTAATCCCAGCATTTTGAAAGGCCGAGGTGGGAAGATCACTTGAGCCCAGGATTTCAAGACCAGGCTAGGCAACATAGCAAAACCCCGCCTCTATAAAAAAAAATTTCAAAATTAGCCAGGCACGGTGGCTTACAACGGCAGTCCCAGCTACTCGGAGGCTGAGATGGGAGGATTGTTTGAGCCCAGGAGTTGGAGGCTATGGTGAGATGTGATAGTGCCACTGCACTCCAGCCTGGGACAGAGCAAGGCCCTGTCTCCAAAAAAAAAAATAGAAAAGAAAGAAAGTGGGCCAGTGTTTGGCGTAGGGTCTTGCTGGTAGTGACGCCTGGCACAAGGTCATTCTGCTTCGTTTCTCTGCCTGTTTGTCTTTCTCCATCTCTGCCCCTACCTATTTTTTTATTTTTTGTTTTTATTTTTTTGAGAGAGAGTTTTGCTCTTTTCACCCAGGCTGGAGTGCAATGGCACAATCTCAGCTCACTGCAACCTCCACCTCCCTGGTTCAAACGATTCTTCAGCCTCAGCCTCCCGAGTAGCTGGGATTGCAGGCTCCCACCACCATGCCCAGCCTTTTTTTTTTTTCCTGTATTTTTAGTAGAGACGGGGTTTCACCATGTTGGCCAGGCTGGTTTCAAACTCCTGGCCTCAGGTGATCCACCTGCCTCAGCCTCCCAAAGTGCTGGGATTACAGGCGTGAGCCGCCTCGCCAGGCCTTCGCCCCACCTTTATAGTGCTCCATCTCCCGTTACTCTCATTCTCTTTCTTCTCTGTTTTTCTCATCCCTGTGTACCTGGTGGCTGCCTGGCAGGAACTAGGGAAGCACTGGGCAGAGGGCCCAGGGGCCGGGGGCCGAGAGATGGTGGAGGAAGCTATTGTGTCCATGACAGCCGTGGCCTGGTACATCAACGACATGAAGCGCAAACAGGAGCACGCGGCGCGCCTCCAGGTGGCCCTGGGGCGGGCTGGGCGGGCTGGAAGAGGGAGTGAGCCAGGGGGTTTTGGGGGTTGGTGGGGGGGATCGGTGCCTCAAGGTAGCCTTGGAGGGTTGGCTGGGACACAGCATGGCCCTGTTGCTAACCTCCCTGTTTTGGTGTGTGTGCGGCACCTACCTATGCTTGTCTCTGTGCCTGGTGCACCTGGCGGGGTCCTGGCAGGAAGTGCAGCGGCGACTGGGTGGCTGGACCGGCCCGGAGCTCAGTGCTTTTGGGGAGCTGGTGCTGGAAGGCTCATTCCGAGGAGGTGGAGGGGGCGGCCCCCGGCTACGAGGGGGTGAGCGGCTGCTCTTCTTGTTCTCTCGGATGCTGCTGGTGGCCAAGCGCAGGGGGCTGGAGTACACCTACAAAGGCCACATCTTTGTGAGTTTCGGGATGGGGGTGGGGCTAGAACACTGCCTACAAAGTATATCCCACATACTTGTACGCATCTGCCCAACAGGGTGGGCCAGGGGACCCTGCCATGTTTTCTTGTGTTTGAGAATGGAATCCAAGGGAGGCTTCTTTCTAGTATATAGAATGAAAGCTGCCCCACTTAAGAAAAAAAGGAAGAAGGCTGGGCGTGGTGACACACCTGTAATCCCAGCACTTTGGGAGGCCAAGGTGGGTGGATCACTTGAGGTCAGGAGTTGGAGATCCAACATAACCAACATGTTGAAACCCCATCTCTACTAAAAATATAAAAATTGGCCAACTATGGTGGCCAGTGCCTGTAATCCCAGCTACTGGGGAGGCTGAGGCAGAAGAATCGCTCGAACCTGGGAGGCGGAGGTTGCACTGAGCTGAGATCGCACCACTGCACTCCAGCCTGGGCAACAGAGCGTGACTATGTCTCTAAAAAAAAACACACACACAAACAAAAGGGAGAGGAAACCCACCACACAGCCTTATGGGACACACCGTCCCAGGGAGTATCCAAGGCTATCTCTGTACAGGCGGAATTGCTGAGCCCAAGGTCTCTGAGCTTGCTGCCCCTCTCTTTCCTTCCAGTGCTGCAATCTGAGCGTGAGCGAGAGTCCTCGAGACCCTCTGGGGTTCAAGGTGTCTGATCTGACCATTCCCAAGCACAGACACCTGCTCCAGGTGAGCACGTAATGAGGCTGGGCTGGTAGGGATAACCCCCAGCCTTAAGACCTCACACCTGGCCCCCTGACTCTACTCCAACCCATCCCCAGGCCAAGAACCAAGAAGAGAAGAGGCTGTGGATTCACTGTCTCCAGCGTCTCTTCTTTGAGAACCACCCCGCCTCCATCCCTGCCAAGGTACAGCTCCTGCCACAGCTGGGGGCCCTCCGAGTTGCTGGAGATACTCTCCCCCAATAGTGCTAGGAGACCCCCCACCCGCCAGTGCCAGAGCAGGCTCTTATGATGTGATCACTAGAAGTGCAGAATTCCAGCCGGGCACGGTGGCTTATGCCTGTAATCCAGCACTGTGGGAGGCCGAGCCAGGTGGATCACCTGAGGTCAGCAGTTCGAGACCAGCCTGACCAACATGGAGAAACCCCATCTCTACTCAAAATGCAAAATTAGCTAGATGTGCTGGTGCACGCCTGTAATGAAAGCTACTCGGGAGGCTGCGGCAGGACAATCGCTTGAACCTGGAAGGCAGAGGTTGTGGTGAGCTGAGATCACCCTGGTGCACTCCAGCCTGGGCGGCAAAAAAAAAAAAAAAGTGCAGAATTCCTGCTTGTTGGGTTTGAATCTAAGCTCTACCATGTCCCTGCTTTCTGACCGTGGGCAAGTAGCTTAACCTCTCTGAGCCTTAATTTCTCACCTAGAGGAATGATAGCATCTTCATCCCAGGGTTGTGGTGATGATTCACAGTCCTCAGCCACGTCACGGGCCTGACCAGTAGGAGCACCCATCAGTTTGGCTGTGGTGGCTCATGCCTGTAATCCCAGTGCTTCGAGGGGGTGATGTGGGAGGATCACTTGAGCCCAGAAGTTCGAAACCAGCTTGGGCAACATAGTGAGACCCTGTCTCTAAAAAACATTTTTAAATTAGCTGGGGCGGGGCATGGTGGCTCACACCTGTAATCTCAGCACTTCGGGAGCTGAGACAGATGGATCACCTGAGGTCAGCAGTTCGAGACCAGCCTGGCCAACATGGTGAAACCCCATCTCTACTAAAAACACAAAAAAATTAGCTGAGGATGGTAGCCAGCACCTGTAATCCCAGCTGTTCAGGAGGCTGAGGCAGGAGAATCACTTGAACCCGGGAGGCGGAGGTTCCAGTGAGCAGAGTCCTGCCTTTGCAGCCTTTGCACTCTAGCCTTGGCAGCAAGAGCAAAAACTCGGTCTCAAAAAAAAAAATTAGCCGGGCGCATGCCTGTAATCCCAGCTACTAAGGAGGCTGAGGCTGGAGGATCACTTGAACCCAGGAAGTGGAGGTGGCATGAGCTGTGATTGCACCACTGCACTCCAACCTGCTGATAAAGTGAGATCTCCAAAAAAGAAGAAAAGCACCCATTAATGGACATGACACAGAGCTTAAAGCATCTTCCCTGTGGTGCTCCAAGACCAACCCACCTCAGCCCTCATCCTCCTGTCTTTCAGGCAAAGCAAGTTCTCCTTGAAAACAGCCTGCACTGTGAGTTGGGGCCTTGGGTTGGGAGGGGGTGGAAGTAGAGAAATTACTTGCAAGAAAAAGTTGGCTGTTAGCCCCAAAACTCTCCCCACAGGTGCCCCCAAAAGTAAGCCTGCCCCAGAGCCCCTGACACCCCCACTTGGGTCTCCTCGACCTCGAGATGCTAGAAGTTTCACACCTGGACGAAGGAATACAGGTAAAAGAGATGGATCCCCGAGTCCCGGCCCTTAGCCCCCACTTCCCTAGGACCCCAGAGCTGGGCTCACACAGGGCTCTGGCCCTCCCTCCCACAGCTTCATCTCCTGGGCCCTCTGTGATTCGCCGAGGCCGCAGGCAGTCTGGTGAGCACTCACCCCTAAAGGTGATCCAGGCATTAGGGTGGGAGCTGGACTCCTGACATCACTGTGTCCTCCCCGCAGAGCCAGTGAAGGACCCTTATGTCATGTTCCCACAGAACGGTCAGTGACTGCCCCGGCTCAGCCTGCTCCATCCCTGTCTATCTCCTGGCGGGATGCCTGGGGTGGGTGGGGGAAGGGTGGTCGCTTCACCTCATCAGTTATGGGGGATCACTCTTTTTCTCTTACTCTCTCACTAATGCTTTTCTCTCTCTCATCTCTCCATCTTCAGCTAAGCCTGGATTCAAGGTAAGAGATATCTTGAAATACGGTCGGGGCACCTTGACTTCCGGGTCTGATAGAGAAGGGAGCTTGAGTTCCAAAATCCTGGGTCTGAATGAGAAGGGGATTGCGGCCAGACAGAGTAGCTCATGCCTATAATCTCATTACTTTGGGAGGTCAAGGCAGGAGGATTGCTTGAGCCCAGGACTTTGAGACCAGCCTGGGCAATGTGGCAAAACCCCATCTCTATAAAAAGTACCAAAAAATGGCCAGGTGCAGTGGCTCACGCCTGTAATCCCAGCACTTTGGGAGGCCCCAAGGCAGGCGGATCACTTGAGGTCAGGAGTTTGTGACCAGCCTGGCCAACATGGAGAAACCCCATCTCTAGTAAAAATACAAAAACTAGCTGCACATTGTAGCAGGTGCCTATAGTCCCAGCTACTCAGGAGGCTGTGGCAGGAGAATCGCTTGAACCAGGGAGGCAGAAGAGATGGTGCCACTTCACTCCAGGCTGAGTGACAGAGCAAGACTGAGTCTCAAAAAAAAACCACACACGCACAAAAGAAGGGGATTGGGACCAGGGGTGCAGTGGGTCACCCCTATAATCCCAGAAAGTTCCACTGCAGCCGAAATGCCCAACCCCCAAGTTTGGGGGTCCGAGGTGGGTGGATCACAAGGTCAGGAGTTGAGGACCAGCCTGACCAAGATGGTGAAACCCCGTCTCTACTAAAAATTAGCCAGGCATGGTAGCGGGCACCTGTAATCCTAGCTACTCTGGAGGCTGAGGCAGAGAATTGCTTGAACCCAGGAGGCGGAAGTTGCAGTGAGCCAAGATTGCACCACTGCACTCCAACCTGGGCAACAGAGCGAGACTCCATCTCAACATAAAAAAAAAAAGAAGGGGATTGGGGCTCGGGTTCCTCCATGTGAGGGAGGAGTCTCGGCCCTTGCCTTCCATTGCTTTCCCTCCTCCCAGCATGCTGGCAGCGAAGGGGAGCTCTACCCCCCAGAATCTCAGGCACCAGTTTCAGGCTCTGGACCCCCTGAGGATCTGGAGGATGCTGGGCCCCCAACACTAGACCCCTGTGGGACCTCAATCACTGAAGAAATACTGGACCTGCTGAATCAGAGAGGCCTTCGAGATCCAGGGGTGAGCTGGCTATCCCATTGTGGTGCCCTTGGGCCTCTGGGTGTGGATGGGTGCACAGACCAGGGACTAGATAGGCTAGCCCATGATGATAACCTTTTTTTTTTTTTTTTCAATTTTATTTGAGATGGAGTCATGCTCTGTTGCCCAGGCTGGAGTGCAGTGACATAATCTCGGCTCACTGCAACCTCTGCCTCCCAGGTTCAAGTGATTCTCTTGCCTCAGCCTCCCGAGTAGCTGGGACTACAGGCGCCCGCCACCACACCCAGCTAATTTTTGTATTTTTAGTAGAGACCAGGTTTCTCCGTGTTGGTCAGACTGGTCTCGAACTCCTGACCTCAGGTGATCTGCCTGCTTCAGCCTCCCAAAGTGCTAAGATTATAGGCATGAGCCACTGCGCCCAGTCACCATGCTGATATATTTGGCCTCTTCTGTGCCCACTATAGCCATCAGCCCATGATATTCCCAAGTTCCCTGGAGACTCCCAGGTGCCTGGTGACAGCGAAAGCCTCACATTCCAAGCCCTGCCCAGCCGGGACTCTTCAGAAGAGGAGGAGGAAGGGCTGGAGATGGATGAACGGGGGACTTCCCCACTCCACGTCCTGGAGGGGCTCGAAAGTTCCAGTGCAGCCGAAATGCCCAACATTCCCAGCCTTACCAAAATTCCTGACGTGCCCAACCTCCCTGAAATTCCCAGCCGCTGTGAAATTCCCGAAGGTCCCTGCCTTCCTAGTCTGTCTGACATTCCCAGTGTTTTTGAGATGCCCTGCCTTCCAGCCATACCTAGTGTCCCCGACAGCCCCAGTCTTTCCAGCACTCCCGCCCTCCCCTGTGACTCCTGGCTCCAGGGGCCTCTGCAGGAACCAACTGAGGCTCCAGCCACCAGAAGAGGACTGTTCCCTGGAAGCAGTCCTGGGAAACTGGGGGAGCCCCCCTCAGGATGCAAGGCAGGGCCGGAGGAGGATGAAGAAGGGGTATCATTCCCAGACTTCCAGCCCCAGGATGTCACCCAACATCAGGGATTCTCAGATGAGCTGGCATTCCGCTCTTGCTCAGAAATCCGGAGCGCCTGGCAGGCATTGGAGCAGGGGCAGCTGGCCCGGCCAGGCTTCCCAGAACCACTGCTGATCCTGGAAGATTCAGATCTGGGTGGAGACAGCGGGAAGGCAGGAGCCCCGAGTTCGGAAAGGACAGCGTCGCGAGTGCGAGAGCTGGCCCGGCTTTACAGCGAACGAATCCAGCAGATGCAGCGGGCGGAGACTCGGGCATCAGCCAATGCCCCCCGCCGCCGGCCTCGGGTTCTGGCCCAACCCCAGCCATCCCCCTGCCTGCCCCAGGAGCAGGTGGAGCCAGGTGAGGTTCGGGCACATGGTTGGCAGAGGTGGTCCCAGCTGGGGTAGTGGTCCTGACTTGATCCTCTTTTTGCATTCAGGGCCCCTGCCTGCCTTTGGACACGTGCTAGTGTGTGAGCTGGCCTTCCCACTGACGTGTGCCCAGGAGTCTGTCCCCCTGGGCCCTGCTGCCTGGGTTCAGGCTGCCACACCTTTGTTGAAGCAGGGAGGCAGCCCACATGGCCAGGTTCTACAGGTTTCCAATGCACCTGAGCAAGACCATCTGGGCATCCGCGTTTCAGCTGCTACCCTTTTGCCTGAGCAAGGAGGTTCCCGGCACTTCCAGGCTCCAGCTGCCACACCTTTGCCCAAGCAAGAAGTCCCTCCACACCTCCAGGTGCTGGCTCTTACAGCTTTCCCTGATCAAGGCCACCCAGAAATCCAAGTTCCAGCCACCACTCCTTTGCCTGAGCATAGAAGCCACATGGACATACCAGCTCCATCCACCACCTTCTGTTCTGAGCAGGGACACCATGTGGACATCCATGTCCCCACCACTCCCGCTTTGCCCAAGGAGATTTGTTCTGATTTCACAGTTTCAGCCACCACTCCTGTGCCCAAGCAAGAAGGCCACCTAGACAGCAGGAACCCAACCAATATCCCACTAACGACGCAAGGAGGTTCCAGGGAAGTTCAGGGCCCAAACCCTGTCTGCAGTCAAGACATCCAGCCTTTGCCTTTGTGTGGAAGCAGCCTGGACCACCGGGGCCCAGGGAACATCCCACCACCCTTGCCGTGTGACCCCTCAGACATTCAGACTCCAGGTACCTCACCTGTGCCTGCATGTGGAAGCCACCTGGACCATCAGATCCCAGCCAGTGCCCCTTCGTCTTTGTCCCAGGACCTCCCAGACAGCCAGGCTCCAGCGGCTACACCTCCACCTAAGGAGCCAAGCCTTACAGACACACAGGTCCAAAAACTCACAGCTTTGTTGGAGCAGAAGAGCCTCACAGATGCCCATGTTCCAGCTGCCACCCCTATACCTGAGAGAGGAGGCTCTCAAGACATTCAGGGGCTATTTCCCACCCCGGTTCAGACTACCATGGTTTTGTCCAAACCAGGAGGCCCCTCAGCCTCTCATCTTGCCAGGTTGGAGTCTTCAGACTTGACCCCACCTCATAGTCCCCCACCATCCAGCCGTCGGCTCCTGGGCCCCAGCGCAGCTGCCCTTTCCAGATACCTGGCAGCCTCATATATCAGCCAGAGCCTGGCTCGGCGGCAGGGACCTGGGGGAGAGGCCCCCACAGCCTCCCGGGGCTCCTGGTCCTCCTCTGCCCCCACATCACGGGCATCTTCACCACCCCCCCAGCCCCAGCCACCACCTCCCCCAGCCAGGCGGCTGAGCTATGCCACGACGGTCAGCATCCATGTGGGTGGGGGTGGGCGGCTGCGGCCAGCCAAGGCCCAGGTCCGTTTGAACCACCCCGCTCTCTTGACCTCCACACAGGAATCTATCGGCCTTCGCAGGGCCCAGGGGGCTCCTGATGCCCCCTTCCACCTGTGAGCCAGGATATGAGGCTTCCTTAAGAGCAAGGACTTCAGCCAAATGCCACAGACTCTCAGAACTTGACCCAGAAGTCAGGGTCAAGTGTGATCAGACACTGAACGCAGGCCTCAAAAGTGCTGCAGCTTTTCAGCTCCTGGTATCTGCGTCAGAGAGTGGCCCTTCTTGCCTTGATCCACAGGGATGGGAAGGGGATGTCATTAATGTTTCGTTAATTAATACTGATGATTTCATGCGATGATGTGTATCTTCCCGTTCTGGAGGTGGTGTGGGATGACGACAATGGGAAGGTCTGACACAGAACAAATCAGTGCTTCTGAACACGGGGAATCTCAGACTCCTTTGAGAATTATTAGAAAATGGTCCCGACATAATTTGGCGTGTGATTTCAGTGAGTGTATAAACTGCTTGACGCCCATCCAGGAAAGCCAAGTTAAGAAGCTTTACTCCGAGTAGACCCCTAGAAACCCATTCCCTTGGCAATTTATGCACTTCACGTGTCCCACCATCATCCATTCATCTCACCCACCCTGCCATCTCCCCACCTATCCATCCAGCCATCTTTCCACCTATGCATTCAGCTATTTATCTAGCCTTCTCCGTCTACCCATCTTCCAATCCATCATCTCACCTGTCTGCCTTGCTTATCCAGCTGTCTGCCCTATTCACCCATCCATCCCTTTATAATACTTCCTCCATTTGGCATTTCATCCCTCCACCCATTTATCCATCATCGCACTTAACCATCTTCTCCGTCCAGCACTCTCCATTAATCCGTCCATCTCTCCCTCCTTATTTCCATCTTTGCCCATTCATCCACTCATTCTGTCATCCATACATACCAGCCATTTCTCAGTCTATCAATGTGCCCATCCCTCCCTTGCTGGATTTTCTGGAACTTGGTATCATGATACTTAAGAGACAATTCCATCCTGACAAGGGAGATCAATTTTGGGGCTCTGGGATAAGTCTGTCCCACATCTGTCTGATTTTCCTTGGCACCCTCCCCACCAATTTCTCATGAATATTCCAATTCTTGTGCCCACTCACATACATTAGATCCCTTCACTCCTCCCCCAAGTTTGCAGCCTCTACAATTCATCCACTCCCTCCCCCAGCAAAATAATTCAGGTCATGGAGACAAAGGGCTTTTATGTGACATTCTGTCTGCCCCTTGTTCCAGCAGTGGTATGCCCAGTGAGTGGCACAGTTTAAGCAGTTTCTTTGGTGATGATATTAGCTGCTTTCATCAAATATCAAATACTTAACCTCTTGTGCTTCTTTCTTTCTTTCTTTTTTGAAACAGAGTCTTACTCTGTCTCCCAGGCTGGAGTGCAGTGGCACAATGTCCACTCACCAAAACTTGCACCTCCTGGGTTCAGGGTTCAAGTGATTCTCCTGTCTCAGCCCCCCGAGAAACTGGGATTACAGATGCCCGCCACCATGCCCAGCTAATTTTTATACTTTTAGTAGAGACGGGGCTTCACCGTGTTGGCCAGGCTGGTCTCGAACTCCTGTCCTCGTGATTTACCCGCCTTGGCCTCCCAAAGTGCTGGGATTACAGGCGTGAGCCGCCACACCCAGCCACCTCTTGTGCTTTAGCACATTATTTAAACTCCCTTGGGATTCTCTGAAGCACCCCGGTGTCCTGGCTATGAATTCAAGTCCCATCTTTACTTAATTTGGTGTGCGCCCTCCCTCTGAGCCAGTCTTCTCATTTAGGAAATGAAGACAATACCTGCCTCCTGGGATCACTGAGAAGATTTGGGGAGCATATCCTCCCACTTTCCAAATAGGTTTGAAACCCTGACTTGCTAAGGAGCATCATTCAAAATCACAGGATTTACTCCCAACCTATGGACGCCCAGGGCAGGAGGAGCCCGAGAATCTGATTTTTTTTTTTTTTTTTCTTTTTGAGACAGAGTTTCACTTTTTTTTTTTTTTTGAGACGGAGTTTTACTCTTGTTACCCGGGCTGGAGTGCAATGGCGCAATCTCGGCTCACCACAACCTCTGCCTCCTGGGTTCAGGCAATTCTCCTGCCTCAGCCTCCCGAGCAGCTGGGATTACAGGTGTGCACCACCATGCCCAGCTAATTTTTTATACTTTCAGTAGAGACGGGGTTTCACCATGTTGACCAGGATGGTCTCGATCTCTTGACCTCGTGATCCACCCGCCTCGGCCTCCCAAAGTGCTGGGATTACAGGCTTGAGCCACCGTGCCCGGCATTTTTTTTCTTTTTTTTAAGAGACGGGGTCTCCCTCTCCAGGCTGGAGTGCAGTGGCTATTCACAGGCGCGATCCCACTACTGATTAGCAAGGGAGTTTTGACCTGTTCCATTTCCAACCTGGGCTACTTTGCCCCTCCTGAGGCAACCTGGTGGTCCCCCCGCTCCCGAGAGGTCACCATATTGATGCTGAACTTAGTGCAGACACCTGGTTGGCATAGCGCACTACAGCCCAGAACTCCTGGGCTCAAGAGATCCTCCCACCTCAGCCTCCCAAGTGGCTGGGACTACAGGCACGTGCCACTGTGCCTGGCAACAGAGTTTCACTCTTTCACCCAGACTGAGTGCAGTGGCGTGATCTTGGTTCTTTGTAACCTCCACCTCCTGGGTTCAAGCAATTCTCATGCCTCAGCCTCCAGACGTAGCTGGACTTACAGGCATGCACCACCATGCCCAGCTAATTTTTGTAATTTTAGTAAAGATGGAGTTTTGCCATGTGGGTCAGGCTAGTCTCGGACTCCTGACCTCAAGTGATCTGGCCACCTTGGCCTCCCAAAGTGCTGGGATTACAGGTGTAAGTCAGTCATCATTCCTGGCTTGGAATCTGAATTTTTTTTTTTTTTTTTTTTTTTTTTTGATACAGAGTTTTAGCTCTTGTCACCCAGGCTGGAGGCTGGAGTACAATGGCGTGATCTTGACTCACTACAACCTCAACCTCCCAGGTTCAAGCAATTCTCCTGCTCAGCTTCCTTACAGGTGCCCACCCCCACGCCCAGCTAATTTTTGTATTTTTAGTACAGACGAGGTTTCACCATGTTAGCCAAGCTGGTCTTGAACTCCTGGCCTCAGGTGATCCACCCACCTTGGCCTCCCAAAGTGCTGGGATTACACATGTGAGCCACCGCACCTGGCCGAACATGTTTTTTTAATCCTCAGTCTAAAGTTGAGGAAACTGAGGCAGGCACAGAGAGGCTAAGGGATTTGCCCAGTCACATAGCTAAGGTACAGCACTGAGACTCAAATCCACACAGCCTGGCTCAAGTCTACTATTAAATTTGCACGTCCTGGTCAGGTGCAGTGGCTCCACCTGTAATCCCAACACTCTGGGAGGCCGAGGCAGGTGGATCACTTGAGGTGAGGAATTTGAGACCAGCCTGGCCAACATGGTGAAAACCTATCTCTACTAAAAATACAAAATAGCCGGGTGCGGTGGCTCACGCCTATAATCCCAGCACTTTGGGAGGCTGAGGCAGGTGGATCACGAGGTCAAGAGATCGAGACCATCCTGGTCAACAAGGTGAAACCCTGTCTCTACTAAAAATACAAAAACTAGCTGGGCATGGTGGTGCACGCCTGTAGTCCCAGCTACTCGGGAGGCTGAGGCAGAATTGCTTGAACCCAGAAGGCGGAGGTTGCGGTGAGCTGAGATCGTGCCATTGCACTCCAGCCTGAGTAACAACAGCGAAACTCCGTCTCAAAATAAATAAATAAAAATAAAAATACAAAATATAAGCCAGGCATGGTGGCAGGTGCCTGTAATCCCAGCTACTCGGGAGGCTGAGGCAGGAGAAGCACTTGAACCTGGGAGGTGGAGGTTGCAGTGAGTAGAGATCGCCCACTGCATTCCAGCCTGGGAGATGAGCAAAACTCCATCTCAAAAAAAATAAAATAAAATAAAATAAAATACATAAATAAAAGTGCATGTCCTGTGCCAGGTGTTGTTCTTGCCAGTGGGGATGCAAGAGAGAACACTGCCTTGCCCACATGAGGCTTGTGGCCTGGTGCTGTGCACGCCCCAGGGATTCTGATACTTAGCTGAGTACAGTCGCCAGCACAGGGCCTGGCTCAATCAATGTTAGCTGCTGGCTTCTGCTCACTTACTGTTTATTGACTGGCTACTGTCCGCCAGGGCCGGGGCTGCGTCCCAGGGGCCCCCGTGGTGGCAGAGGTGAACTCCTCAGCCTGGAGGGATCCACTCCACTGCAGCCTCCCCAAGGTCAGGACCGCAGCCGGTGCTCCCCTCCTCCGCCCCAGCTGCACGTTCCCAGCTGAAGGAAAGTTCTCAGCCTGGCCTGGGCTCCCAGCTGCGTCGGAATTCCCGGTATTTGAGGAGACAGGGAGGGAGAAGGAGCCTGTCTACTCCAAGTCCTGGAGCTGGGAAGAAGAGGTGAGCCCCCTTTCCAGTCCAGATGTGTCCCAGCTGTGCCTCTGGGAAAGAGCCAGGAGCCTCAGTAAGGGGGTCTCTGGACCCCCTGAGAAAACCATGGGCTCCAGGCCTGCCTCCACACCTCCTCCTGGTGTCTGTGAATTCCATTCCTCCCTCCCACCCAACTCCTACTGCTGCTTTGCTGCCCCAGCTCTGTTGCCCCCTCAGGAGTACCTTTCCTGCCGGCCTACCTTGGTTTGGAGCCCAGTCCTCTTCAGAGCTGCAGCTAAATCGGGCTCTGAAAGGATGAAGGTGGTGCCCGCTGCCCTCTCTGGGACATTTAGGTTAATGCCAGCTAAACCCAGTTAACCCAAGTTAACTCTGGCTGCAACGCAAAACTTGGCGAGCTGAAGAACATTATTTTGCCACTAGGGTAGCTTTCCCATCCTGTGTCACCAACTTCACAGGGATGTGGATACCCCCAAAAACCACCTGCTAGATGCTCAGTGAACCCCACTTTTTTTTTTTTAAAGGAGGAGTCTTGCTCTGTCACCCAGGCTGGAGTGCAGTGATCTCAGCTCAGTGAAACCTCTGCCTCTGGAGTCTGAGCAATTCTGCTGTCTCAGCCTCCTGAGTAACTGGCACTATAGGGACACACCACCACACTCGGCTAAATTTCGTATTTTTAGTAGAGATGGGGTTTCACCATATTGGTCAGGCTGGTCTCGAACTCCTGGCCTCAGGTGATCCACCCACCTCGGCCTCCCAAAGTGCTGGGATTACAGGCCTGAGCCACCAGGACCGGCCCCACCCTCAGCATTTAAGAGCAGGACTTCCCTATTGGCTGTAGAAAACTAGGAACTA